GACATTTACCGATTACGAGAACATGTGAATTCTACTACTACGCATCACCCACGTCGCACCTATGTATCGCGACAAAAGGGGGAGAGAGAGCTCCATGTATATTGATCGTTTTGTCGATGATGCGAGATCATGGCGAAACTTGTGCGACGGGAATAGAAAACTGTTGTTTATAGGTATTCGCACAAATCATCATCATGATCTGGCTTTACTCGCGACGAGTATCAATCATTAGATATAAAATAATAAGATATTGCTTGTGAAGCGTGCGCGCACGTGCGTGCGTGCGTGCATGCGTGCGTGCATGCGTGAAAAGTCACTACACACGGATGAACTATTAAAACTAGTTCGGAGAACTTTTCACGCTTAGACAGATTATGTTGGACAACTGAACCGCAATCTATAATATTATCGCAACGTACGAGAAAAAAAAGAGGGAAAAATAAAAGAATTGTATATTCTCTGCTTTCGTTGCAGTTAAAGCTTTGTTATAAGGATAAAGCCCATGAAAATAAATCGTAGTATTCACAGGATTTCACTATCGTTGCCCGATTTATTGAGCAAAGATAGCGCGTGCGCGGCCATGCCTCTGTCGTGTCTCGTCTCCGGTTTTCGCGAGGAGAATCCAGGCGCTGTTGAGATAATAGGATGTTAACCGTCAACAGAAGAAAACAAAAAAAAGGAAAGAAAAAACAAACACACGATAATACTGCCAGTCGTACGCCGACGACGACGACGACCACTATCCTTGAACTCTGAGAATTTTTCATGTCGTATTCGTGATATGTCTATGTGAATAGTGAAACATATGTTAGAAGAGGAGGAGGAAGAGACTCGACACACCCATACGCGTAGCCTCTTGTTAAAAATTCAGCACACACATACACACAGACACACACACTTCAGTGAATTTAGGGAATAACGACTAGAAAAAGATTGAGGTTGCGATCAACTCCCCTTTTATCCCGATATCTTTTCTCCAAAGCGTTGAGAGTTTAAAGAAAATTACTAGCAAAAAAACAAAAAGAAATATGAATGTAATGTAAATCAACATTGACGAAGCCACGATTATATACGTGAATTAGGAACATGGCTGCAATTCTTTTGTTGTCGCAAAGATATATATATTGATTCTCGATGAAGTATCTCCGAATGGCGTGGGCGACGTATACAATATTTTAGGAGAGAAAAGATGCTGAGATTGCAGTCTCAAAGATTAAACAGAGAAATTAGTGGTTAAATGCTTCTCTCTTATGTTGTCTTAATTTTCTAGTACTCGCTCGGCATACCTGTTGTAATTTATTCTTGAAAACGTATAAGTACCAGCTCTGCCACTGATATACACGCGGTTAATCCGATACACGGTATTACGCGTGTGTGTATCGTTTATTATGCGAATTGCATTGAGATTTTGTCTGAGATCAAGATCCGGTGTGTTCGCGTTCTTGAGAAAGCATGCTCACCTTTGGTATTGCCGTAGCGACCGGCTATACCGAAATAATAATAATAATAGTATACGGTGTACGCGAGTACTGGAGAATCGAGTTCTGTCGAGTAAGCATTATCACCGCGATCGCTATTACCACTTCGATCATTAGCAGTTCACTAGCAGCAGTTGGCTCATTATCAGCAGCGTTGTAACAGTAGTGTAGGAGTAGAAGTAGCAGTGATAATGGTTGTTGGTGTTTGCGGAGTAAGCGAGTAATAATGATAGTATTAATAATAATAGCTGTAATAGTAATAGTAACCGCAGTAGTAGTAATAGTAGTAGCAGCAACAGCAACAATCTCGCGACAGCAGTAGTATTGCGATGATGATTCGTTCGCGTCTTTCAGTTTCTCCGCCTCGATTTTAATTGGGAATCTCCCTACGATTTCCATCGATGTTTTTTCACTGGTATTTTTATTATTTTTTTTTATCTAACGTATACTGCGCATCTTCAAAGATGCGAGGAATATGTCTCGTTATTGTATAACTACTATTACCATTGCTATCGCACTTTACCATCGTTCCATCCATCCCGATATAATTCACCGTTTACAGTGATCGTTTTGGCTTGTATTGTCATTCTTGCACTATTTTCGTCGGTATCGCTATTATAATTTGTTGTACTATCATCACTGTTACTATTATCACTGTTATTAATGTTACTGTATTTATTGGTACTATTATTATTACGTTATCATTATTTAGCGCTATTATTAAACTACTACTCTGGTTAGTACTACCATTATTAGGACTATTACGACTACTGTTATTACTATTATTAATACCTACTACTATGTATTGTTACTACTACTACTATTACTATCGTCATCTTCTATTACTACTACTACTACCACCGCTGCAACAACTTTATCACTATTACTATTAGTACGACTGCTACTATATATATTATTTTATATTATTATTTTAATTATATTATTTTTATTACAATTATTATAATTACGGTTATTATTAATGCACGTGTACACTCAGTGGATGATGACGGTGAAGAATAGGATAAAAAGAGTAAGTAAATGGATAAGTATGTTAAATTGTATGGGTATGTCTCATAGGGTACTCGACAAATTTTATTAAAGATATTGAAATCTGTTTAATAACATCTATTATAGCTTAACTGCGACGTGATGGATTTTGTTGATGTCACAGCTGATGATCTGTCGTATTACCAGCAATTGCTTGTAAAGACGTAAAGATACCTTTAATAATTAAATAATTCTCTCTCTCTTTTTAATTATATGGCCATGTTATAATTTATAAGGATGTGATATATATATATATATATGTATATATATATATATATATTTATGCAATATCGTATTTATGATTTTTTTTGCCATGTTCTCGTGTTTTTCTTTTTTCTTTAGCAAACGACAAAAAGTATTAAATATTCTAATATTTTCATATAGGATTGTTATTATTAATGACGGCATAATGAATTGTTGGTGTTTTATTACAAAGACGAAGGAAATTATATTAATAAAGTAAAATGTTATATATGTATCTTAAAACGTTTAATATTTTAAGTATTAAAATGCGCGAAAAAGAGAGCTCAAAAAGTAATACGACAGATCCGTTTACCTATCGCAGACCGTCTGTAATTATACCGATTTGTAGTTAGAAATATGACGAAACACTACTTATACATTTACGTGCTAAAACGTGAAAATAAAAGAGTAAACGGCAATTTGCTACTATTAATTTGTGCAGTTAGTTGATACAACCCGACAAATCTGTTTAGGTAAGGAGAGATTAATAAAAAAGCTTGAGATGTTGGCGTTAAATTATATTTCTGTGGTTCGTTGCAAGTCAATTCTCAGAATCGCAGAGACTAACGCTGTTAAACCATTATTCAATATAGCCATAATATGGTTCTTCTAAATGAAGGCAACATTGAGTAGCAATCTTGATGAACTCAACAATACTTGCGTAACGTAAAGCAATGCATAAAAATTATATAAGAAATACATAGAATATTTAAATCTTTCATACATGGATTCTTGAATCATTCGTAATTATTCGTACGCACAACATGCGAGAAATATCCAATGAGCGATACTGCTTTTCCGTGAAACGAATATACGAATATAGTTACGAAGAATTCGAAAATCGAGTCCTCGATCTTATAGCTTCCGCCCGCGGAATGCGGTGATGCTTGCCGCGTGGCAAGAAACGATGCGGCAGCCAGTAAACTTTTAGTTCTTGTGGAAGAATGGCACGGTGATTGGTAGCCGCGTCGCTTCTTGCCGCGCGGCGGAATTTCGCGCGACAGCCAATGAACATGCCGTTTTTCGGTAAAAACTAGAAATTTATTGGCTATCGCACCAACTTCCGCCGCGTGGCAAGCGCGTTCTGTAGGCAGAAGCCATTACTTCTTATAAATATATTCCTACTGTCTATTGTGAATCACGTTATAAATACACTCCTACTACCTATCGTAGATCACGTTTCATGGTACGTCTGCACATGTGTAATTTAGCGACTCAACGCCACAAATGAATGAAGTGATGTTTAACAATACGCTTTTTTTATTTTACACACTTGTATTTATACCGCATCTTTGTCGTATCTGCGTTCTACTTGCGACGTATTCATTCAAGAACCTAGAATAATTTTTCTGATTGATCATTCAAAGTTGTAGGAATACTCAGGTACGATATATTCAGTCTGGAGATTCTCGAATAATAATTGACAGGTGGTTCTACAGACGATTTTTTTAACCTAACCAATTGGCGCGACACGTGCAACAACGCACGTCAGGAATGTATGTTGTGTGTTAAGATAGATGACAGCGAATATTTCTTGTGTTAAAAATTAATACCCGAATTAATATGTTTCAGCAACAAATTCTGCTTGACGTTTCATCTCTATTGATAAATTCATCATACAGATGACAAATTGGCAGCGCGATGGAGTGTGGCATAATGGACCATGGCGTGATGGATCACGGCGTGATGGATCACGGCGTGATGAATCACGGCATGATGGATCACGGCGTGATGGATCGTCTCGCGATGGATCGTCATGTAAGGAGTCGAAAGGATGTAGATGTTGCAAAAATGACCAGTCAGTAATGATCAGCCATTTGAAAAATAAAGTGGAACATTTAGAACGTGGATTAGATTGGTTACGTGAACAGATAACAGAGAAGAGACACGAAGATTCACAGCGTGATGGGTCGACTCGTGACGAATCACGGTGTAAGGAATCAAGATCTGTTACAGATACATATTGCAAAAATGATCAATTAATGCAGTTGAAGAATAAAGTGGAACACCTAGAGCGTAGACTAGATTGGTTGCGTCAACAGATAATGGAGAAAAATTATGAGGAATTAAAGCGAAAGAAGATATTGGACTACGAGAAACAACGTACGGAGACTATGAAGAGTAGGTCCAGGCAAGCGCCTCCATTTGATAATCTGAATAAGAGTAGCTGTAAACCACCATCTTATCATCAACATACAGAAGGAAAATGGAAACTGGAAACCATGGACCGTTCTGAATTTATGAGTTCCCCTGAGCCTGAGGTCATGTTCAAAAAGTAAGTTGCAGGTACAGAAGGTATATTTATGTAAGTATACAATCAAAGTATACAATTATTTATTTAAAAACGTGTAATTTATGAATCGAACTAGAAATCGTGTATGATTCACGAGTTAAATTCGTTTGTCACAGATTCGCTTATGATTCTTTGACTTTACTCGGTAAGTGATTTTAATAAGTTTAATGTATTGCAACTGACTCATGTCTGTAGATCAGATGGGTATACAGATAGGGCATTACCTCCGTTCAAGGATTCCAAGTGCCGGACGATTAGTACTACAGAAGTATCTGGAATTAATGTTGATATTCATAGGAATATCTCTGCACAAGAACCGAACAGTTACCGAAATAGGGACTACGATGGAATATAACTACTTCAGCTTAGCTCTCAGGACGTGAACGTTAAGAGAACAGATGGTAAAATGTTATATTTTTTTTCTTGATATTCTTTTATCACGTTTGCCACCCAGATATAGGTGACACGTAAGTTTCGTCAAAGGCCATGTCGCCTACAAATGAGTGACGGTTTTGATAAGGCAAGATTTTATTAAGTTCTTAGAACAGTACGAAACGTCAATTTTGGCTCTGCAGGATTCATTACATTATATATATGTGTATATATATAAATACAAAATAAATAAATAAATAAATATACATATATATATATACATATATATATATATGTATATTTATTTATTTATTTATTATATATATATATATATATATATATATATTTATTTATTTATTTATTTATTTATTTATTTATTTACTTATATATTCATGACTCGCTGGGAGTCGGTCATGAAAATCGTTTTGTAAGTATTATTAGTGAAATTTGTTACATTTGTTACAAAGCGCCTGCATAGCGTAGTAAAATATTCTAATTTTAAATGGTATTTATAAATGCAAATAACTAAAAACACCGAATTATTTTATACACTCGATATTTATATCAATAATATTTCACACACATTTCAATACAATACGCCACATACCTTTTGAGTTATGTTAAGTCAACTTAATCAACAAAAAGGAAGATGAAGAAAAATCTATTATCACGAAGAATTACCGTTATCGTACCCATCAAACTGACTGGTAGCATTATAGTTGTACCTTATCTTCAATATTGCAGTCTCGTTTGAGCCTCGCTATTAAGAGATATGGTGCAAACACGGACTCTTTAGCAGCTAATCACAACTGTATAACATGGAAGATATGCAACATGGAAGAAATCAACATAACAAGAAATCTTATATTTTCGTGACAACCACACAACTTAAATTTAAGTCTTTAATTTGACATTTCATTATTTTGGTATAGCAATTAATTAATACATTATTTCTAATCTGGCGTTCACTGATCAAATCGACCCAAGCAAAAAATTAAGATTCTAGAGTTGAATCTTGAACCATTATATATATACACAAAATTATTTTCTTAAAATATACGACTTTTTATTTCGTTCTATGTAGAATGAATACACTATTTTTTTTATATATCATAAATTATCTGTTTTAAAAACAATAAATGACAATTTTTTCAAATTTATTTTTTGTACATTCAGTATTATAATATTTGTACATCGGATTAAAATAAATGGTCCATGAAAGGACACATTGCAAAAATTGTATCTAAGGGAATATTGGCGTAAAAACATGAGAGATTTAAAATTTTCAAATAAAGTAATGATACAGTATAAGTTATAATAAGATATAAATTCCCGAGGGAGGGGAAAATAGTGCACATATGTGCTCTACGATACGTTCTTGATAATATGTTCATCATTCTTTAAAAATATAATAAAAAGAAAAGTCTAATGAATATAATGATGAATGTTAAAATATGAAATAGTAAGGAAACCTGTGAATTACATACAGGTTGATGCAATAAAAATTGATTCAGTAATGACTTTAATATCAAATGAGCACTCATATCGACACACTCGAAGATACAACACTGGAAGATACATTCGACTTCAGAAAAGGAATCAGGTAACACTTATGCACTCAGTAATACGTAATGATTACATTTCACCAGAATCATTATGCTATAACTTCAATTTAATATCTTTTTAAGGACCATTGCATAATATGACATGAGCACAGAGTGTACACAAATAATATATAAATATATGTGCATATTCTTAATCTACTTTTGCATTTATTCTTAGGAATTACATGAGAATTTCGCGAGAATTAAAAGTTACTGTGATTTGCGAGCTTTTGTATTGTATATTACTAAAATTAATGTGTATCGTTAAGGAAATAATGAAGACGTCGTAAAGTCGTTCGGGTTTTCGAAATCGCGCCGATTACGACAAAAGATGCGTTCGGGGAGACGCTGTTAGCGCTGTGCAGTTCTGGGTGTTCACGGAACTTGCAAACGCTAACGCCACCATTACGTTACCTCGGAAGCAGTGATGCCAATGACGTCGAGTCAGCCGAGGACGGCCGAAGCTATGTTCATGGACACGCGGCGCTTGTGTGCGTATTGGCTCGGTACCCTCATTGGCATCACTGGATAGATTTTTATTTTTCAGTAGCACAACCGAAGATAGTTCGGGAGAATTCACTTGAATGAAGAAGAAAACAAACGTCATTTGATCTGTCGATCGTCGATCTCAGTTTTGGTTATTTAATACCCGCTTGAGAGCTGATATAATCTACAAGTTCTCTGCGAAAATGGCTCTGGCGATGAACCTCGGTAGGCTGTCAAATCAGTCATTGTTGCGGAATAAAGGATATCTGTACAACGCTGTGAGATGTGGTTCCGATGATACACGTGAGTGCTATTCATACATCTGTGTTCTGTCTTATAAGTCTTCAATAGGAGTAAAATTATCTCGTCAATTGGTAATGAGGTTAAGATGTTATTACATAAGTAACAAAAATTTGTTTGTTTCGTGGGAAATTATATGGACAATTATAATTTGACTTTTCACACATAAGCATGACCTTGTATGTAAAATTACATAGAATGGTAAAGAAACATAATCAAGGGATGTATACACTTTTCATTAATCATGTATTGATCATGGAAAGAGAACTTTCTGAAAGTTTTGTTACTTGTTATTAGCGCCGCCATGGAATTACCTCTGGCAACCAGGCAAATATTCAAAGAAAGACCATGATAAAATTGCCGAAAAGTACCACCTACATCCAAAAGAATACAAACCTCTACCTGAGAGTGCTTGCATGGGTGATTATCCAGATTTGCCTATGATAGGACCAGGTGCTAAAGACCCGTACTATCCTTATGACTTGCCAGTTTATAAGAAAAATTATCACGAAACGGTAAGTTTATAAGGAATATTTGTATGATATGTCATTTTATACTCATAATGTATTTTCTAAAATGTTCCTGTATTTCTCTCTTTTTCAAGTTGCACCACAAATTTGATATTATGACCGAGATGCATTATGATTTTGGCTACAAACATAGATTTGAACCACATATCGGAGCGCTAATATGTATTACTTTCATGGCTGCTTTTGCACTAGTATTTTATATTGGGCACAAATACCCTACCTTCGTACCAGTAGTAAGTATTCCTCTAGGTGTACACACATTCATAAAAGTTTCTATCTATATTTTGTTTAATTAGATATTTCAATACTTGATGAATATTTGACAAATGTCTGTTTCAGATGGAAAAGCAGTATCCATACAAAGGTCAAGTACATTATACATTTGAACCAGCAGATGAAAAATAAATATAACACACCTGTATCAAAGATACATTTCAGTGTATGAAGCAATTGTAATATATGAATACATAGTATGTTATAATAACATATGCGCCTATTTATTATGACATTCTTGCAATATCACGATTTTCCCTTGGTATAGTTTCGAGTTGTTCATTTCTTTCTTTGCTATGTCGGTTTTCAATGTATATTTTCTAAGTGACAAACTGCTAAGATACTACCAAAGCGAATTACTGATTGATTGATTTTTGTTTGTATTCTTGTATCTTGATAACTCCATAATTCTTATAATTGGGATATAAAATCTAATAGGTTTTACAATAGTTATTGCAATAACGTTTTTCTAATACGGTGAACACTAAAATGCGTTTCGGTATTCACTGCCGATATTTCGAAATCTATAGATACGTAACACAAACTGTAGATTCGTAGTGAATATCAGAACGCACTTTACCGTATCTGAAAGACGGTATTGCAAAAACTCCGTAATATGAGTGAAAGCTCGAATTTTTGTTACTAGAAGTTCCTTAAACAAATAAATAATATCATATATTCGATGATGTTCCACGTAGATGATCCAATTGACGTACGATCATTGTTACCTCCGACTTTCTGCACTTATGTCGTATAAATCGTCGGGATGTAGTAAACGTATGGCTTATTTTTATAACAGTGGCGAAAGAATACCATCGACTAACACATTTTTATTTCACTTCTTCGTACATTCATTACAAAAGAAGCAATAACATTTGATCCAAAACTTTTTTATGCATACAAATCCCCAATATATATTAATAATACAAATGAAAGAGGAAAAATATATCTGTAACATCTCGCAAGTGACGGTTGAATGTTAATTTGCGTCGACATGGAAAGATTTTCATACAAATTGTGTCCATTGTATTATGACGTACGTGTTACACGGCTTGTGTGTATGTATGTATGTATATATACATACATATGCATACATATATATATATATATATATATATATATATATGATCATACTAAAAATACAGATAGAAAAATATGATAGGCTACAGAATAAATTGTACGATGAAAACGTGAGCACAATTATATATCGGTTAAAAACCTGTTCACAACTATCGTTATATAGCGTAGTTGAGAAGGACGTCGAGAGAGATACAACACTTATTAATATCACGTACTTACAAATGATATGCTTAATCAATTGTCTGTTTCCGTTATTTTCAGCGGGTTATATATCTCGTTAATAATGCTCGATAATTCCATAAATCCTCTACGAATGTGAAACATACATATCCCGTAAATATTGAATAATACCCCAATATGCCTGTATCCGCCTTTCCTTCCGCAATAAGATACGTTATACCTCGACAGATGTAATAATTAAATAGCATGAGTATATAAAGGTGTAATGCCATTGATCAGAAAAATAATTGAGAGGATCTGCGTTACAATTGGATTTCGTATCTTACGTCACAACGTACAATGTATATCGATAAAATTTCAAAGTTTTACCTTAGCGTTGCATTGGTAATAATTGTGCAAAATTGTTGTGCATAAATGACGCGAGAGCTCGAGAGAATTTTCTTATTAAATGCAGCGAGATATTGCTTATATTCAAAGTATGAGCGTTCGGAGAGAAAATATCGATTATCAAGTTATCCCATAATACTTTCTTTTGTATCTTCATACCGGATCGAGTCGCTTATTATTGATTAGAGCTCCACGTGATCACGAGAATAGATCGTGGGGGTATCGTTCACGTAATTTTTCCTTAGGGCGGAAACGTGAAAAGTGAAGATCCTAAACGTTTTCAAATATATAGTTCTTCATGTTGCATAAACGTCATTGTTAACAATATATAACAATATATTTGTCAACTTCTCAAACATTAAAAATAACACTTTTACACTATAGTTCTAATAGTTAGCAATATTACATTATCAAATGATAGTTTAAAAACATTTATAAGATATTATGTCAAAATGTTTAGAAAATCCATATAAAATCAATGTTTCAAAGGATTGATTCAATGTTCCTTGCTTACTGGGCAAAATTTATAACTCGAAATTTTCTATTTGCAATTTTCACTTTTCACATTTCCGTCCTAAAAAGAAGTTACGTCAATGCCCAGGCCCAAATTCAAATCAGTATTTCCCGAAATTACAAACTGTATGTATACCTTAAAAAATTATCTCGAATCACAAGTAATCTCATATTTTTAACTAAACCACTTTCCAACGTGGTCAGCAATCTCCATCACTTGAAGTGTACGTGATTAGTTCTTTTGCACACTGTGTATGTGTGTGTGTGTGTGTGTGTGTGTGCGCGCGCGCGCGTGTGCGTGCTGTCACAATACTCTTTGCTTTTTTCTCTCTTTCTCCTTTTCTCTTGACGAATACTTATCTCACGAGCCGGAATACGCAATAACATTAATTAAATAAATTTCAAAAGAGAACCATTGAAATCATATATATATATATTTTTTTTAAATACGTTATCTTAATACATTTTTCTTAATTCTCTCACACTCCTTCGACTTTTCCCTTTTTTTTTCTTTTTCTCTCTTTTAATTTACTGCCCTACAAGTAGTGTAGTTCTACAGATATGTCACTTTTGTCGCTGCTGTAATAAATACTTTGACGAGAGACGTAGATCAACAAAGCATCGGTATACGCACCCTTATGCATGTATGATACTTTCTAATACTTACCGTGAGATCTATGAGAGTGCAAAGTGACATATATATATATATAAATATATATATATATATATATATACCTTTCGACAAAGGATATCGGTAACACATCAATAGCGATTATTACTTGGTTTTGGTACTTATATCGGTATCTTGCTAGGAAAAAAAAGAGCCACCCGAACCGACGCGAGGGATAACACGCGGAAGAATTCTCTCATGAATCGTCAAAACATTTTCTCTCTCTCTTCCTCCCTTCTTTTCTTTCTCTCGCGATGACACCATTGGCGCGTCGGTTTGCGCGGCGCTTTTAACGTTATCATTTCCCGTTTCAACAGTACACGCAGGAGAACGTTAATCCATAATATTCGGCGAGAGTTATTTGATTCAATTTTATTGAATATCGGTCACGCATTTCTTTTTTTTCCGCGCGATGCGACGCCCGACCGAAGGAGGAAGCCCATGCGCGAACGGGGCCCAGATAATTTCGATACAAGCCAACCTGGTGGCATTACAGAAAAAACTAGTTCGTTCACTCTTTTCTCTTTCTCGCTGCTGCTGTTGTTGTTGCTATTAGAGTATCGAGTATACGCCTATAGGTGTGTGCGCCGACGTGTATACGTTTAAATATTGACAACATAGTTCGTTCGATCGTTAGACTAGATTAACAACGTATGCGTATGGTGTGTATATGTACAATATGTCGTACGGGCCGATATCTCCCTTCGCGAAAGTGCAGATAATCGTCTCGCGGTCGTCTGAGTATATATATTTGCGATGAATTGCGCGGCGCCCCTTGATCGCAACTTGAGAGAGAGTTTAGCAGCGATTTTAACTTTTAGAGTCTATCTCTGTCGGTCTGACAGACTGTCGGAGTAGCTACGACATTCAGCGTTAAACGATAGGGAAGAAAGAGAAGGAAATTATACAGAGCTACGTATATACCTTATATTGCCTATATTATCTAGGACTCTACGGTCGCGAGTCTAAGGAGAAAGCAATTGCGTGCTTGTTGTTTCGTCTTCTCTCTCTCTTAGCGACTCGACTCCTCCCCCAAACCCCCGCGAGAAGCAGCTTAATTTCCCTATCTAATCGGTAAAATCGAGTCTAATTTCTTCGTTGCACCTTCAATGGATGTTCTCACTCGTATTTTGGTGATATAGTGTATACTTAACTTATACGCTTATGTATTCGTTTTCTGTGACTCTATATATATATATATGTACGAAGGGGAAATTCTGCCAATAGAGAGTCGAACGAAATCTCTTTTGCGCGCTCATTAAAAATTATGGTACAGCCCCGACGCGTGCAATTGTTACTTGGGAAGGCCTTTCTCTCAGCTATCGCCAGAATTTCCAGAAAAATATTATACAAAATATAAACAGTTGTATATATATCAATATTGGAAGGTAAAGACACCGTTGAAAGTAGCCTACATGCGAGAATATTAACTACCATCAACTCAGCTGCCAGCAAGAAGTGTAGCATGATATAGAAAATGAAACGCGAAAAAAGAATAACGCGTGTGTGTGTAAGCAGCGGATAATACAAATCGACCATACGTATGTTCGCTTGCCCTTTAATTCGGAATTAAATGAAAACGGTATAAAAAAAGAAAACAAGGCGCTACACGTGCCCACGTGACGCGACATCATCACAATGATCCTTAGGTCAACTTAAGAATTACTCCGAATTCATGTGTACGCGCGGCGTACACATTTACAATTATCGATAATTACGGTAGGGATACACGCGTGTAAATTCACGGGAATTATGCGCACAGTTAAATTATTTACAGCGTTATATAAGATCTCCGCTTATTCCTACGTGAAGTAAAACGTTTGATCGTTAGCCACTACGACGAAAAACGCAGGTTTCTTCACACACGCTCACGCTCACTCACGCACACGTGGTTGTAAGAACCGAATAACTGCGATGTAACACGGGGATAGTACTAATGTGCACGCTATTGCTGCTGCGTACTCATCGTATGTATCATATTTGTGTGTGTGTGTGTGTGTGTGTGTGTGTGTGTGTGTGTGTGTGTGTGTGTGTGTGGTGCGTGTAGCTAGTTCTTTTTCTCCGAGAAAAGGAAAAAAAAACAACCAACTTTACCAATAATGGCAATTGACACCGCAAGTAAAACACGACGCGAATCAATGTAACGTTATGTACAATTTCATTTACACTGCACACCGATTAGCCAATTATTATATCACATTAGTTTCTTCTTTTTATCTCTCTCTCTCTTTCTCCTCCTCATTAAGACATTTCTCTTCTTTCCGCACGTTTTGTTATAAACATTAAACAAGTGTGTGTGTCTGTGTATATGTGTGTGTAATTAATATCAAGGATAAAAAGATCTACGCTGACTTTTTTCTTCTCTATCTAAGCCTGTATGTCTCGGTTAAGAGAGTTTATCTTGTAAAATTCAAACTATTGACACTAACACGTTTCACCTTTTTTTTTCCCTTTTATGTATATGGCAGCTTTGTAACTACTTCACTTAAAATTTCATGTATCATATTATTCTGGCAATCAATTTATCTGGATTGTTATTTACCCGTGTTTTGTACTAGAACGATCGTTAACTAAACGCTTAGGCCTTTCTTTCTTGTTGCTGTGGTAGGTATCGCTAAATATTTACGAGTCCTGATGATACGTGCGTGCGCATACGCATGTACTGATGATGATGAAGATGATGAGGTTTGAGAATCGGCGAATTGCGATTCGTCGACGCGTTTACCGACGACTCTATTGTTATGCAGAAACGAAGCACTCTATATTTAAATGATAAACTAAAGGAGGTTAAATAGGCGGATTCATTCGCTTGATTCATCCTTTAAGACGAGGCACGCGCAAACTGCTCTATATTACTTTATTATTATTATTATTACTACTACTAGTATTATTATTATTATTATATGGCAACATCTTTCACTGTCATATCTAAAAGTAAAAGGTATCGTGTCTTGATAAATTGAATGTCCGAAAGAAAGATCTCAAAAAGACACGGTACACTCTTTCAATGGCGAACAAAATTGATCCGATCTCTCTCTTTCTCTCTCCTTCATTTTCTCCATTCCACGGAATGTATCGTGAAAGAGTCAGTGCCAGTATCGAGAGATCAGATTGGGATTATCCTAATGGGGAGAATCGTCATCTAGAATGGTGACAAAAAAAGCGTCGCGTGAAATGAGACGCGTGGAATAAAAAAAAAGAAATCTCGTTCATGCTTTATAAATACAAAGTTCATATTTAATTTGTATCTAATCTCTAGATAGTCATGTGATTTAAAGCTGAAAACTCGGGGATACCTATTAATAAGTTGCCAACAAAAGGGTATTTTTGCTGTGATCACCGACATTAATTTGCACCTGCGCCGCCGATGTATCCCCTCGGCAAAGCCGAGAAGATATCATTGACGAGGCGCAAATTATTAGCCAGTCGACGTGATCGCCATGTTTTTCTTCCCTATCATCATATACAATAGTATATGTAACAGTTGCGCTCAGTCGTACCACGTGTCCTGATACGCGCACACCAGAGAGCGCGCGCTATCATGAGACTACGATGGCTCTACATTAATCAACGTAATTGGTGTTCATCCTTGTGTAATCAACAGTTGTTCTCTGTCGATCGCTCGAAAATTCACTACCTACATAAAGCTATAGAAATGGACGTTTACATACACATTTAAATAATTTAAAAATGAAAAAACACCTACTACTTTTTATACAATTCGCTAGCGAAGGCAAATAAATAAATTGTCCTTAAGTGTGCTTTTTTTTCTCTCTTTCCCTTTTTTTATCTAGAACAGCTGAAGACCCGGGGTTTCTCTCTCATTAATATTACGATAAACACTGTTACAGACGTAGTTAAGTATAAGTTGCATATCCTCAATAGCAAATACGTATATCGGTTTATAGCAAACGGAAAAGAGACTGCTGAAAATGCGTTCGAAGGAGAGGGGAGGGGTGGGGTGACAGCTTAGAAACATATATATATATATATATATATATATATAGACATGGAAGGGGAATGCTAGTGCACCGAAAGTGTATCAGAGTTGCGTGAAATAGAGAAAGAAAGTGTACAGAAGTATACAGAAGGAAAAAGACAGAGCATAGAAAGGAACAATCGTCCTCTGTGCGCGTGCGCCGAAATCAGCAAACGCTTTAAAGCTATAAACAGTTTGTATCTCAGCTGTGATGAATGATAGTAGATGTAAACTCATAAATGACATTATGTATATATCTCTCTCTTTCTCGCACGCTACTTGAACACACTTTTGTCCTATAGAAAACAAGGCAGTTCCCCTTCCATGTCAATATGTTCTAAGGATGATAGATATATCAGTTTCGCCTGGTGTACCACAAAGTTCCCTCCGGTGGATTTTCGCGTGTTTTTTTTTTGGGCGTTTCGACCTAATCGATGCTTACAAACGTAAGTTATCTTTAAGTTGAAACACGGTGCGTTTACGTTATATTGATAATCGGCTAGATATACGGAATTCTCATACACACATGTTTGCGCATTACTAAAATTTCCACAAGGTTCAATGATAATAATAATAATAATACACAACCTCACAGAGGCTGTCGAAACGGGATAGACTCGCTAACCCTTTCACCGCTCTTAGAGCGTTTGTAGAGGAAATTTCATATTTTTGTGTTTCCGCAAAAAAAGAGTATATACCTACATAAATATAAACATCCTAATTCACTGTTTCAGCCTTTCGATCGCAGACCTCGAGACGCAGGCAGTGAAAGGGTTAGGTATATTCTAGTTTTGCGGCTGTGCCTTCTTGCCACCACGTGGCTTGATGCTCTCGGAAATCTGCCACATCGCCTCCTCACAGAGGAAATCGCTGAAGTTGTTGAAGAACGTTATGATGCGTTCGTGCTTCTTGAAGGAGTACGTGCTGCAAGAATGCGGAATAGCGTTAAACGTTGAGACACGCCGAACCTTCGCGAAACCCGCAAACTCGCGGGTCGGCTTCTCTTCTCGACCGATCCCCGTGGAAATTTACTCACGACGCGAATATCGTGCACAATTCGCATTTCTTTCAATAATTCGACGTTTCAAATTTCTGGATATTCGCTACAGCTGCCCCTTTTGGAGTAGACTACCCAGGGGCCTTAATTGATGCAACAACATATTTATATTGAAAGAAAAATTACTATCGAAAGAAAAAAAAAAATTGGTTCGCAGAATTGACTAGAACGAAACGTGAACGCCGAATCCGACAGAGGACCGCAACGGGTTGAGAATCCGACGAGCAAGACTGCCGCTACTCACCCTTTCTTAAATCTCTTCATATTTTCAACAATATTAAATTGTTGCCATCTCTTGGAGAAATTTATAGTGCCGTCTGGTAACAAGTCGCTATTCCCGATATGCACAAACGTAAGATCTTGCAAAACAAGTCCGCTGAAACAGAGATGACATGTGTACACACGATAATCGAGCGGACACACGCGATGGATTCCGCAGTTCCGCAGCTGCGCAAAGATATTCTTATTCTTACATATAAGGGATGCATGGCGGTTGTGTTTCCGCTAGAGCTTGCCTATAAGCTCGGAAGCTGCTGGAACTGTCTATCAGGGCGCAGTATTCCTTGAGACCCTCCGTGATGTGCTTCTGCCACTCGAGTCTCCGGATGGGCGCGCTGTCCAGGGCGGACAGTAGCGCGAGATAGCTGTTGAAATTGTTGATCTTCCTAAGGTGTTTCATGATCTTGATGAACTTCACGACGTACTTCTCCCTGTCCTTCGCCTCGTTCTCCAATCGGTGCTCCAGTATCCTGGAACGCGCCCAGTACGACATCTTGTTGAAGTGTTCGGTAAATCTCGTGAGATTCGGGCTTCGCTCCTCGTTCTGCTCCTGCGCCCAGATCAGCACCTCCGGGATCTCGATCTTCATGAACAGGTCGGCGTCGAGCAGCGTCATTTGCTCCGCGATCTGCTCGCTCTTGAAGTCCAATAGGGACGCCTGCTTCGTCGTTACGCTCAGGGATGAAAGTATCGGTTGGGCCGCTTGCAGCTGCTTGATGGTGTGCTTCTCCAGTATCTTCACTCGCAACGCCTTCGCCATCGTGAGATCCCCACCGCACACCAACTGCTGCACGAATTCCATCAGAGTCTGCAGAAGCACGTCGTCGAGATCGGATATTCTGTAAGATAAATTGTTCGTGTTCGCAGGTCGTGTTCGAAGTTGTTGAGGAAGCGCGCGCGCGCGCGCGCGCGAGAGAGAGAGAGAGAGAGCGTACTCACGTTAAATCGCTCACGACTCTGACTAACAAAGAAAACGCTTCGCGCGCCGCTCTCTGCTTTATAACATCGGGCGAGCATGAGAAACGTTGATGGCGTCTGTGCAATTTCTGAATTAGTTCCAACGGCTGCATGAATGTTCTGTACGTCGTTAGAAACGCCTCCTGGTACAGGAAGTCTGCGAAAAGGACAGCGTCTTTGGAAACATTTCGTCCCCGTATCGCGTTTCCTAGTTTGTACCGCGATACGATCATCGAGGCAATATTCACAGCTGATTTTGAAAAGTAACCCGTCACCACCATGTTGAGACTGACTCATTTTGAGAGGAAAAAACTTGTTACCGCTATCGTGCGTGACGTTATTCAAGGAGTAATGATTCATTTTTTTGTTTCACCAAGTTCCGAAGGCCGCCGTTTCATGTTCATGTATCTCCGTATGTAGAAAGTAACGATCGAAATATCGATTATATTCGTTACCCAAGAAATGCAATTACGTTATCATTACCAACGAAAGAGAAACTAACTTTGTCTAAGAAAAAAAAAAAAGGTAACGAGTTACTTTCCAATCCTGAATAGTACATAAAACCACATATCACACCGACCTGATTCTTTCTCATCTGCGTGCGGCACGAAAAGAATATTAAGAAATGATTTTAGTTTTCCGAATATGTAATACCAAATCATCGCATTGGTTCTATTATAAGTGTATAGAAAATTTAAAGTTATATATACCATGTTGATTACCATGTTTATTGGCTTTCGTGGCATGAATTAATAACGCGTCCGGATGCCCGCCGCGTATATCCGGGCCCTCTTCGTCCGCTTTCTTGAACACCAAGTACTTGCTAATGTCTAACTCGTCCAGAATGCTGTCGTCCTGATCGATATCCCTTAGTTCGAGAGTATTTTCGTCGACTGATATGGAAGAGAGCGCGTTGCTAGCAGGTCTCGACGACGGTGGTAGCACCGTGTCCACGATGACATTGTTATTCTGAAACGATAACGATTACGCGTCACACACCCATACGCAACGTGCTCGGTGAACGTGAATCTCTCACGCACGGGCACTTCGTGAAGAAGTGACGCGGTAACAACAAAATTATTACATTTATGTTTACCAGTTTCACCGGAGTGGGAGGTGTCGCGTCTTTCTTCTCGTGCGCGTGATTCGGCTCCTCCGTTGGTTTCAGAGGCGTCGACGCGACGACGAGCGGTTCCGCGCTGTGGTGGATATTCTGCATACTGACGGTAGGTTTCGGCGATATCGGTGGCGGTGTGGCGTTTGATTTAATGGAACGGGATCTCTTTGGTGGTAATGCCGGGGGCAGACTAGAATTATTTGTTGCCTCTACTAAGGTCGGCGCTGTGGTCACGGAGACGCTGCAAGTGGCAAACGCAATTTTCGACGGTGGTCCCCAGCGCTCCCTTCCAACGATCACTTGTCAAATTATTGACCGTTTGTCAAAAATATCTCCCCGAAATCGCATTAAGGGCACCAACGAGTAATCGAGCATTTCTCAACGGGACTCATCAAGCTTATCGAAACTTTGTAGATATTTAAATAGGTCTCGTATCAAAATATTCAATTACTTTTTATTCGAAGATATAAACGCAAGAAATTCCGGCATGCGTTTCCTCGCTTTTTACGTCATTCATGAAACAAGGACAGTCAACAGCGACCACCCCGGTGCCCGAACGAATACTTAATTCACCTCGATGGGGTACGAATATTTGTCGTCGATATAAAATTCTTTCGCGAAAGACATTCCCCGTCGGCAGAACGCGCACCTTGAGCTGTCATGCAGAGCGGTGACGGTGTGTGTCATGAAGGAACACGATTGGGTCGTGGTAAGGGCCATCTCGTGCTGCTGCCATTCCGCCTGCATCGAATTGTAGGCTGCCACGGAGTGACGGGTGCCGAGACCGGAGATGAAGTCGTTGTTACTGTGGGAGCAGTTGCCGAACATCTCCATGTACGCCATGACTGCAAATACGTTTCAGGACGACACACACGGATTAGCAGGGCGGACTCTCGCGCCGAGGGGCGAAATGAGAGTCGAGAGAATGTGAAAGTGAAAATGAGAGAAATTCTGGTTATTGGTAAAGGTACTCCGGAATGAAAAGTGAACTTTTTTTAATGTATATGATAGAAAATCGATGGTCGGCGCAAGCACGATGTATAGATATATGCCGCGACAAGGCATAAACTGAGAAGCGTACGCGACACGCGTGTGTGGATCGCGCGGGATAACACTGATGCACAAGCAATAACAACAACACATCGTCCCGCGTTAATTGTTACTTCCGACTCGAGAGCCACGTGTGTACGAGAGTGAAAAAAACGTTCTCGACCCACTGGAGTAAGTGTGAAATCGTTTGAACAGCATCCTTCGCGCGCCGCTACCGTGAATACGCTACAAAATTCCAACGATCTTCGGCCCGTCCCGCTCCGCAATGGGAACGAGCAGTGTGCCGTGGTAATGGCAGACTTCATTAAAATAGTGTCACGCGTAAGTTAAGACGGTTTCACGTTAAGGATTCCTTCTTCTTCGCACTTCTCCGCTCCGTTCTGTCTTGCGGCGCTAAGACGGAAACTGAATTTCAGCTCAACGGTTCAACAACTGATGGGGCATAACTGTCGGCCGACTGTTAGCGGGAAAGGTCAAATTAATTAGAAAAAGATTACGACGCCCACGTGACGCGCGCGCGCGCGCGCGAAAGAGCCGTCTCTTTCCTTCATTAGCGTTGCGAAATTCCAACTGATGGGAAAACCCGCCAAATTTCTCGCGCTTTGAACGAACGACGATGTGACTCGGTGATTCTCCACGCGGAAGGACAGGATCAAACGGGAAATTCGATTGTAACACGAGACGGGGGGAGGGGGCAAGATGTCGATCGTTGTTTCTTCGATTAGTACAATATTCGACTGAAATTCCTCCCGCGATTTTTCCGTACACCGACGATGCGAATTAAAACGGTAAGCCATGAGAGAATAAGCTGCGATTATTAATAAAAATTCAAGCTTTCAACAATCAAACAAAAAAATCATATTCCCAAGATATTCTCAGGTAAAAGGGGGAGGAAATGGAGTAATAACAATAAACATGCCGCAAGAAGCCTGCAATTATAAAAAGTCTCAGATAAACGTGTGAAACGTAGGACATCAACTTAGCGTGAGGAGTGTTTGCTGAAGGGGTAGCTGAATTGTGTGGGCAGGATCCCACTTACCAGAATATGCCACTGATTGGAACACTGGGGGATACAAAACATTGCGTCAGTTTTCTTTTTAACTCACTATACCACAGAATAATGTCGAGTGACAACTATAGAGTTCGATCTTAAACGTCTATTGCGTGTCCCGACGAGCTAAACCGAGTAAGTCTCTATGCGGCCTGTCCGAATCGAAGGACATTACAGTCTCGTTTCGCGAGATCGTTACGTTAGTCTCCGAGGAGTTAGTGCGGTGTCTTTCGAAATTAAGTAAATCTCTAAGATTTATATCAACGGCTGTTACTTGAAACTCAAGTGACGTGTTTCGATCTGAGCTTTGAGCTGAATACCTCAAATTTTTCAGTTGAATCGCGATCACAAATGCAGTGTCGCACGCATATTATGATTTCCCAAAAGCTCAAGTCTAATTTTAACAAACGATAAATAAAAATAAATATAAACCAAATATGAGGGGAATATAAATAACAATATATTATATTACGATTGTTTATATTCTCTTCATATTTTATCGTTTACATTTACTTTCAAATTGCTTTCAAATCAAATAAATCTAATATATTGTAAAATAAATCCCGAATTTAGATCTGAGTATGTCACGTGAGACAAGTTTCAAGCAACGACCATTGATACGGGTCTAAGTTGACAACGAGGAAATGAGACGTCGACACCAATACTGTTAGACATCCGTTCCCCCCTCATGCGTAGACATCGGGCGATTGTCGTGAAAGATGATTACTTACTGTGCCGCTTCTTCAAAGGCAGAGGGGGTGGCTTGTTCGCGTCCGGACTGTCTCCGTTGCTGGTATGCAAAGCGCACGTGGACAAATGCTCATTTTCTGGTACGTTATCGTACTGCGACGGCTGCCGCTCTTTCCTGCGCTTGGACCGCTTTTCCGGCAACGCCGGCGGCACTCCGTTGGAATCGGACGGCACCGATTCCATTTCCTGCGCATACACACACATACACACATATACACACGCTACGAACAGATTAGATTAATGTTCTGGGTGGAATTCGCACGGATGATGAACAATAAGACGAGAACGCGAAAGAGAGAGAGAGAGAGAAGACGCGCGCGACAGAGGGAAATGACGTTTACCAGTTTCTCTAATAAAGCTGGGTCCCCTGGGTTTCCAGACACGTTGGTCGTGCTAATAGTACTTTTGGAACTAGTCATCGTCTTCTGTGTAAAAATAGAGCCGTTACTATCCGAGGATAATTTGGTCTGGGAAAACGACTGCTGCTGCGTGCTGAATGACTGTGAGTTATAACTAATGCTGCTCTGCTGCGACGACCTCTTGGACGTCATGCTGGACGCGGTGGTGTAACTCTGGGATGAGCTTCGCTGAGAATGCATGGAGACGAAGCCCGATTCCTGCGTCTGAGTGGACAATCGCTCCATCTTCCCTTCTATACCTGCAACACAGGAAGCGAAGGCGAGAGACGAGAGATTATTCGGACTGCGATTTCGAGGCGGTAAGAGGAGAGAGAAATAAATGAAAGAGTAAGCGAAACTAAGAGCCGCGGTATCGCGGCGATATTCCCTTACGGAGGAGCGTTTTGATACTTTCCCAACCAAAGGAGCTAACTCGATGTGACATTTCGCGCGAGATACGGGCAGCACTGTGCAAGTGCGAGACGAAAGAGAGAAGAGTAACTGCTCGATCCCGCCGTGCGAGATGCTTCCTGTGCATTGGGAGGAAGATCTCTACGATACTGTTTATTCATGCGGTCGGAAGGTCGATCCCGCCCACGCAACTTGCTCCACTAACTATTTGAGGAATTCTTGCGTAATTTTAGCTCCCGCACTTTTCCTTCCTCTCTCATAACGCTCGTCAGAGAGAAGAGATTTACTTCGAAGTGTACTTTATATTAAGTAAAAAAACATATATATACACAACAAAAAAAAAATTTTAAATCAATCGATAAGTAAAACGTTAAACGCACTTTTGATTTTTGTTCTATTATCACGTAACAAAAAGAAATACATGTGTCTTGTTGTACAATTCCGCGAATTCACTAACTTTCACTCATTATTAAACTATTTATCTGTATAATGAGAAGAATTACACACCAGTGAACGGATTAAGCATTTCTTGAGGTGTTTGTTGGCCTAGCAACATAGTACTCGGTATACTAGTTTCAGAACCGTCCCAGCAACTATAGTTCGAAGTACCATTAACTTGCATCCCTATAACGATACAGAACACACGTTACACGTTTACAGTCAGATTTATAACTTATCGCCATTAAATCAAGAAGAAGAGCCGAGTGTCGAGAGAAGTCTCGGCTCGACGTTACAAATATACGTGGCGCGAAGTTTTCTTTCCAGCGAAGCACTGAAAGTGTAGTTTCTATTTTATGAAAAGTGGCGGACGCATTCGTCTCACACATACGCACTTATGTAAAAAGCGACGCGCTACATATCAAGGTATTATATAAAACTTCTTAAACGCTTCTTCGCACGAACTTGGTATTTAACTCCGGCCGCTCTTTGTATTCCGCGCACTCATTATCAAGCGTAGTGTAGATAAAATCACTGCGAACTTTTGTTTAGCATTAATAGAAACGAAGATCGCTGCTTAATTAGCAACAGTGATGTGTTTGTACAGCTCGCAGAAACGCCCGGACGCAGACTGAGCGCGACACAGAAACAGAATGCCAAACTAATGTGCTGAGTAAGCGTTCTGACCATGAAGCGCGCTCGTCTTACACATATGGGAATGCATTTACAGTAATCCTCTTACCACTGCCATTATCTCTCTCTCTCTCTCTCTCTCTCTCTCTCTCTCTCTCTCTCTCTCTCCTTCTCCCTTCGTCCGGACATACATTAACCGTACTAATAAGAATTGAGGCGTTCTCACCGAACATTACCGGCCCACGTAGCGATTGTATGTTTATACTTAATGCCTTCAACGAATGCTTTTTGTATTTCGTAATACGAAACCTTTCACATCGTGTGTCGAGAGAATATTAAAAGTTAAATATACAGCGGTTAACAAAGCGCGAGATTTTCAGGCCGAAGAGAGTGCGTTACCTTGAATAGTAGCCATGAGACTTAGGTCCATACTATCGTTCAGCGACTCGTCATTTGGTCCCATTATAGCTCTGATCTCGTCCTCGTCCCGGGAGTGATTCAGAGCCGAATCCAGACTACCGGCGGACGCGCTGAGGAGGGAGGACGAATCCTCCGGGGATCGGCTCCGCAGGGATACCCTATCGAGACTAGACGCCAGAAGGCCCTCCGACTCGTCGAAGAGCTGTTGGGCCCTCGTTCTTCTCTTCGGCGGCAACGGAGGTGGCGTGCCGGACGAGCTGTTTTCCTCCGACAAACATACATTTGTTCTACAAGGGATCGAGCATATTGTCCATCGTTCCAACTTTTCCGCCGATGACAAACGATCTGTCTTGGTTCCCGTTCTTTCGTAGCGAAACGAGTGTTACCTGTCGGGCAGCGGGGGCTTCGGGGGCGGACTGGAATCCCGTAGAATCGACTCCGAGCTGTGCGAGCTGCGAACCAGCGAGCTGCTCGCCGCCGTCTGCTCCAGGATCTGCCGTTCCCTCGGTGTCAGCGGTATGTCGGGCAGGGAGTTCCTTTGCGTCAATTCCGACCCGTACCCGGAAGCTCTGCAATTTGTCAAGTGTCCTCGCTGAAACATCTCGGCGGTATTGTAACAGATACATTTTTTTGTATATAACTGGATACAGATACTGAGAGAGAAATGTAAGTAAAGATATAGATGTAAAGATAAGTGAGGATAAAGATGTGGATGATTATTTATCTCAAATTTATATATATCTACTTATATTTCCCCTTCAGTATCTGTATTTAGTTACTTGAAAAAATGCGTCTGTCACAACACTGCATCTCAGCCGCTCGTGCGTATAAATTCCCGAATATTTTCCAATTTCAACGTTTCTTTTGAGATACGCCCGAAGTATCGGAATTAAAGGATCCCTTCATCGCAAATTACCTATTGTTATTCGCGGCAGCCGCGGGTTTCTGCTTGTTCGCGATCTTCTCGTGCGCCAGGGCGACCAGATTTTTCACCGCCTCCTCGACCAGCCCGATCACGTGCGTCACGTTTTCGGTGTCCAAGGCGGAGGATTGATCGCCGTGCAGCAGCACGTCGTCGCAGAGTTTCAACAACTGCGCCAACGCCTGGTACACCTGATTCGTGGCGGAGCCCAGTGTGGAACTGCAAGAACGGCGGGACATAAAGTGTCAGAAACATAGAAGTTCGACCGAGCTTCAACGGTGGTTGGTGGAGGGGGCGAGTTCATAAATCGGAATTTCGATATTGAAACTTTTCGGACAGCCAATTGTTGTGATTGACCGTGCAAAGAGACTGAGGATTACCTCCCTCTATGTTTTTTATGCAGAAACAATCCACAGCCATGTTTTTACGACAATATTACGCGGTAAAAAAATAATTTGCTGCAAATTACAGTAAATTTTATGCTATACGCAATAAAACCTGTTACCACGTGGACGGCAAAACTATTTGTTAAAAATGCCGGATATATTTTGTTAAATCTACAAACTTTTTGCTGTAAGAACGAATAAGTGTAGAATGTAGGAAAACAATGTCACATTCAGAGAAGCATTAGCTATAAGAACTGGGGACAACTAATGTTGCTACCGTTAAATAATAGAGTTTTCTTGAATGAGACAACAAAATTTTCACTCAAACAAGTAATATTTCGCATAAGTATACGTTGTTTCTATGAAACAAATCCTAGTCAAACAAATAGAAATACTAAAACTTAAGGGAGGCTCTTTTCTCCGTGTGCAGATCGCCTACCTGTTCTCGTAGAGCAGATAAGACTTTAACGCGTTGTGTATGGTGGTAACGGTATCAAGGACGATCGTGCCGTTCCCGGGCAGCATCTCGAGCTTTTTCTTGGATACGACATCCCGAAAGTGGAGCAGTGCCAGCTGCACCTGCCGCACGTGAATGTGCAGGTCGCGTAGGGGATTCTTATCCAGAGCGGTGCCGGAGTCGTTGCAGCCCGGGGCGCTCTTGTCACGCGGCGTACGCGGTGACGAGGGCGAGGCGGCCCTCGTGGCCGCCCCACTGCCCCCGCCGCCGCTACCGCTACCAGGAGAACGCATGTGGGAGAGCTTTTCCAGAAAGTCCTCCTTGAAGGAGCGCGCGCGACGCGCTAGTTTACCGCCGCGCGCCTTCCCGCCGGAGCGCTCCTCGACTTCTGCAACAGGAAAAGATTCGATCGGCCTCTTCAGAAAATTACAAGTTACAAATTATACTGTCACATTTTTTATTACACCACTCGCGTATATCTCAGCTTCTTAGTGATTAATCCCATTTCCCAACCTCACAGACGTATAGATAATATCTCTATCAGGTGGAACGAAAAACGACGATGACGTAAAAATGACTGTAAAACTCGTTTTTTTATCACTTTTTTCCGTCGCTATCAAAAAAAAAAAAAATTATCGACCACGTTAAAAATTCATAAAAAAACGGGGAGGGGGGGGGCAGGATCCTGTTTTTACTCGTCCCACTTCCATTTCGCTGTTTAATCCCCGCCGGTTAATTCCCGATCCTCTTTTCGCGATAATTCCGGGGGAGATGCGTCACGGGAGGGAAAGCCGCGTCGTTGCACGATCATTCGCCACTCGGTGCGACGAAACACCGCGACCAAGTCACCGTATAAGTCACCTACTCTCGCATCCTCTTTCCTCCCACACACAGTCACACACATACACACGGCCAAAGAGAAGAGCACGAGACCTCATCCTTTTGCGACGCGATATTTCCCGTAGGGGTGTACGAAGCTCCGCGCGCGCGGCACATCGAACTTCAAGCCGCGCGGCGCCGCCAGTGTAACGTCAACCCGGCGCACACGTGCGCGCCGGTTGCATATCGCCAGGCGTCTCGCCTTTTTCTAGCGGCGGGTAGAGACGGCTAATGCCAGCCGCGTGCACTTGAATTAAAACGAAAACGGCGGCGGGAGCCACCGGTGCGCTGGACGTGTAATGTGTCTGCGGTGTTATAGCCGGATGTAAGTACCAGGGAAACGTTTCCCCCGCGAGCCGGACTTGCACTCGGCAGGAGAGAGAAAGAATGAGAGAGTGGGATAACCGGTCGCCTCGCCCTTTTTCCCCCCGGTCGTCCGTTGCGCGGTGAATCGACAATCGATGAGGACTTCCCCTCCTTCTCCGACTCAATAAATAAAAATAAAAAATTCTAATTTAAACCGGAGTTACAGGACATTAAATGCAAAGGCACCGAATTAATTTGTACACCTAATATTTTGACGTTGAAAACAGCGGAAACGGGAATTCAAAGCATCATCATGGTTGAAGTAAAAGTAAATTGAAAGTGGACCATCGTCGGAACTGAACCTATTTTGCTGTCTTAGCTATTACTGTGTTGCAGAATTACAGATTTAATATATAACCATACACGCACATACACATATAATGATTGCGTTTTAAAATTTAATTCACAAACCAATACCAAGCCAGTCGAGCTTCGACAAGCTTGCCCAGCGATATAGGAAGCATTGATATCGCCATCTCGAGAGGCGGACGAGAGGTGAAGCGAGAGAGAGAGAGAGAGAGAGAGAGAGAGAGAGAGAGAGAGAGAGAGAGAGAGANTGAGAGAAAATATCGGTTTACTAAATAATTTATCATGGCAATATTTTTCTCGGCTATCATCGTGCGCGATGCATCGTGATACACCGCGGCGGCGGCCGCACAGGCCATTTCGACTGGCGCCAAAAGTAATGGAAGCGATAAAGATCGTCAGAATGAACTTCGTGAATTTATTACGCCGCATAAATTTCCCCGGGAAAACTTCAGTGTATTTCTCTCGCGCGAGTAACGCCGCTTTTGTAGGCGAAGTTGTGTTGTCGGGAGGTCGGTGAGTGCGTTTAGACGGGGGTTTATGGACCGTCGTGAGCTTGCAACAGATTTCAACGGGCCGAATATATTAAAAATGCGCCGCACTAACGGCGCGGCGTTGTGCAAAAAAAAACTGTGCTACCAAGTAGGGCGTAAACTTCGGGAGCACATCTCTGTGATGTGAAGTAAAATCGTTTGAGAACGAGAGCGCTGTCCGCCAAATTTCCCGCAGCGAAATTCGCTCAAAGCGACGGCGAAATTACGACCACTCGTAATCGCAAGAACGAATGTTTCACTTAAACTCTAGAATGGATTCTTAATCTGTGCACAGAGATGGTATTACACGAGTTGCATTTTCAGGCTCATCCTGCGGAAAATGTTGCAATCCACCTTTTACTGTCGACTATATTTACACGCGGAGAACACCGCGATTCTCAGCTACGAAAAAAATCCCAACTCGAAATAATTTCTCTTCATTCTGATCTCTCAGTTGTTCTGCATTACAGTGGATGTCACAGCGGATATTATGGCATTTTAGAAACCCCGAATTAATATAACAAATATTTTAGGTACAATCACACTTCAGTATTTTACATTCATATTCAGACGAAAAATAGTCGAATTTAAATAAAAAAAAAAAAATTAACAATTAAGTGTAAATGAATATTGAGAAAAAAATATGGGTGTCTGTAATTATAATTATAGTTATTCTCTGGGACAATGTCTCTCTTTTTATATTTTAACCGCAAAAATAATAGTAGCGACATGTACGTAATGTAAATGATAGTGGCGACATGTAAGATTATTATCACTGGCACTATGATAACGCTTACTTAGAAAAATGATTTTCTCCGCTGGTGGTGAAAATGGAAAGAGGATATTGTTGTCCCCGAAAAATAACTGTATTTTTCTCTCAAGCGTATTTCTCCGCGTTTGATCAGCGCGAAGACACGATCGTTTAATCACGCTACTGCATCGCGCGATCCGTCTGGGGGAAAGAGAGAGAGAGAGAGAGAGAGAGAGATCAGCCGCTGCTGGCGCGTACGCAGGTAAATCAAGTTCTATTCACGATCCCGGGGCCCGAAATCTCAATCAGACGTGATTTGCGCCAAAGGCACAAGGTTTGACAAGCCGATAGAGATAATGGAGATGAGAACACAGAGACAAGAGAAGAGGCGAGGGAGGAGAGAAGCGCACGCACAGACGGGAGAGATGCAAATTGCCGTGATTGACTGTATTCACGAACCGCGTTCGACTCCCACACGTCCATCCATGGGAATGCGCGTACACGGGAAACGCGCGATACAATGGACGCGCGCGTGCGGCGGTTATTTACAAACCGCGAGGATTATTTTGATCGCACGGAGCCTTCAGTCGCGCCAAGTGCCTGTATACGTCCGATTATGCAAAACCCATCGCTCGCTCACTCAATGAGAGACGAATAGCGACGGGATCGTCCTACCTCCCTCCCGTCTCTGGTTTCGTTTGTCGCCCGGACGGAGAACAGAGAACACGCGCACACACGCACACTCGCGTGCGCAATCTATCCGCCGGTGTGTGTTTCCGATCGATCACGCCGGAATTCGCTCCGTGTGTTGTGAAAATAAAAGAAAAATGTTTTAGCATGATGTTACACGTAATGTTCTTAAGTTTTGGAAAAAAAAGAAAAACACTGTTCCTTTCTCAAATTTTCCACGGATTTCATCGGTTTACACTGTTTACACTGTTCCTAATGAAAATTTCCATTTTTCCTCATCGAAGGTGAATAACGCGAAAGATCGTTATTTAAAATGACTTTTTAATTCTCAATATAACACATTATAATGGCTTTTCAATGATCAACATAACATATTTTTGTAGTCTCGAGTTAAAGAGAGAGAGAGAGAGAGAGAGAGAGAGAGAGAGAGTAAAATTCTATTGAAATAATAATAGTTGAAATTGACGGAAGAAAATAATTCTTTTTATCCACTTAATCACCCATATTTCAGCTCGCGAGAAACCCGGTTTTTTCGACCGCCTATATCTCAGAAATCACCGAAGCCTCAACATTTTCATTACGAAAAGATTTGTCATAAAAAATAGTGTAGTGTGTATATAATGAATACGAATGAGCGTTATGTATATAATGAATAAAATACAGAGTTGGCATTCTGTACATCCATTGTAAAATATTTCGAGATAATTACACAGAGCTCCATGCTTGCGATTAAGTGGCATAAATCACTAACAAACTTCCGAGATCTGAATTTAATTCGATACAGAATCATACGCCGGAATATTCAGCAATGCTCCGTAATTACGATTCCGGTAAATAAATCTATTAAAACGCGAGACCTTACACTCGTGCGTACGACGGAATAATTAATTTCACGCGGTAATAGGCGGCCCAACATTGATTACTCGATTATGTTGTTTCGTATATTTTGCGAGGCCCCACCACGTGGCACAGCGAGAGCGTTGTTTTACCTGACAGTTCGCCGACGATTTCTGTCGAATCGCGATGAGTACGCGCAGCACAGCAACGAAACACAGGCGCGATCCGCGAAACGGTGAGTGTCAAATGTATTTAGAATGTGATGCGTGCGCGCACTCGGTGAAATTTTATAACAATGAGATGATCGCGATTCCCGAGCGCCAGCTATTCGCTGGTACAAACTGGTTGCGCTGTTAATGCGCATTAGCCACACGTCAGCGACGACGTTAGTAGCGCACCGACGAAATATTCACACGGGCAATGCATATATTGTTGGCAATACGTTCATCGAGCCGATCGCGAATGTTATCGCGAGTATCGCGAGCGGATGACGTTTTCCGAATCTTCTCTCTGAATCGCTCGGGACAAAGTCTCATTCGAAACAAGTAAACATCCATTCGAAGTGAAGATAATCTCGCCCGGAATCAGAAGAGTGAATGTTTCGCTCAAATCGTAGAGTGAATTTTTCATCCATACGAGTGAATATTTTTTTTACTTAATCGATTAAAGAGTATTTATTCTCTATAGTGATTCAGGGCGAAGAATTCACTCTATACCAGCGAAAAATCGCCTTGAATTTGAGCGATTCGTCTAGTTTTTCATTTTATAGATAACTGGTTTAAATTTCAACTGACGATAATGCAACAATCGTGCCTTTCTATTCATTTAATCGTTAAACCAGCTTTGTAGTAGTTCAAAGTTTAATAATTAATCATGAATATCAAAACATAATTTTTCGTTATCATCGGGTTAAGTCTAAACCACAAGCTGGAAGATAAAAGAACGGGCAGCTAGAAAATAAAAAAGAAACAAACCCGAGAGAGATTATTCATGCTTGAGAAATAATGCGTGGACGTTTCCGGCCGA